CCGTTAAAACAAAAGCATGAAATAAGGTATCTACCATGTCCTGAAATACTACTCCATATTCTCTCAATAGCACACAACATAGAGTCGGATGCAGAAAAAAATTCATATGTACCGAGTAAGTTTTTTGTAACTTATTTATCTTCATTGCATTTTACCATGTTTAAATTTTAGATGACACTAATCCTCAACAAAAGCCTTTGTTCGAAAGCCGAAGAACTTATTTGAAACGTAAACGGTTTTTGTTTCATATAAGTTGTGGTTTCTCACAAGTTAGGCTTCAATATTCATTATTTTTTGGGTTAGTAAGCGGTAGTGTTGAAAAAAGCTATAACTTAAATACACTGAAACATGTCTGAAATATATATGTTCGTCAGTACCCATACCTTTTCCCTAGTTCATGAGTACCAATTTAGAAACAATTTCAAGACGAAATTCCCTCTAACAGAGGATAATGTAACAACACGTTATTTCAAGTCAATGTAAGTCAAACTTATTCAAATAAAAGTCTAAACTACAATCGTATACAAGTGAATTCACATCATAACAATGATACAATAAGAACTTTGAATGTCATAAGGGCATGTTTATATAAGTATTGTATGAGCATATTTTGAAAACCTTACTTATATAAGTTATATATATTTATATATTAAAAACCATACATATGTATGTTTATATGGGTTGGTATATTTATATATACTAAATACTATATTGAAATAGGATAATATGAGTCAACAAAAGTCAATAAGTCAAGTAAAATCCAAATTAAACACCCTACATATGAGATTTCGGTTTTGGGAATCTACGATCAATGGTGTTTTCGGCTTTGAGCATCTTGGGACCAATTGTGTTTTCGGTTTTGATTCCTCCACTAAGACGGAAATCAATCATTTGTGGGACAACCAAGGTGATTTCGGTCATACTAGGACCGAAATCAACATCCTAGTGACCGAAATCTCCCTTAAATACCGAAATCAACATCCTAGTAACTGAAATCAACATCCTAGTATATAGATATTTTACTTGATTAAGTTCTCAAAATGATAAGATACACATTCCAACGTAAGCATCCCATCATATATATATATATATATATATATATATATATATATATATATATATATATATATATATATATATATATATATATATAATCTAGGCAGTTAAAGCGGTCCAAAATCAAATATCGGTCAAGGGCCGATATTTGGGATATAGGTTATCACGGTGGGATATCGATAGGATATCAGTATTTTTATATCATGCATAATTAATATATATAAACATAAAACATATATAAAGGTAATATATAAAGTCAAAATTCAAAATTGTCAATGTTTGAAACATAATCTTACGTAAGCCATTGAATCTTCCTCCAAATCCACATCAACCAAGGTATCCAATTATTTTAACAAGATCATCCATATCAACTCTAATATCATCATCATCATCATTTAAGAATTATGTACTTAACACATCAACATGATTAAACCTATACAAACTAGCAAGTTAACACTTAAGTATGTAACACTTAACATAACAATAAGATCGATTAATACATAAAACATGAGTTTATGACCTAAAACTAACAATTAAGTTCTTAACATAATAGCAGTTCAGTTATATTAAGTTCATAAGACTTAAGGCCATGACGTAACACTAAAAAAAGCAAGTAAAACTACATAACTGATATCCCACCTGGAAATCGCCAGGAAATATCGGTAAATATCGGTTAAATATCACCGATTTTTGCGGTCCGATATTTTGGACCGATATTTGACACCACTATTTTGAAAAGTGCCGAGAACCGATATCCCACCTAGAATTGCCGATATTAACTGCTTATATATATATATATATATATATATATATATATATATATATATATATATATATATATATATATAAAGTGAAATCATACTTCATTTCATACAATTCCCCTACAAAAACTCTTTAATTCTCTCTCAAAAATCATAAGCCAACCTTCATATTTTCAAGCGGTTCCCTAGAAAACATTCAAATCTTCAAACCTTCATAACATTCAAATCTTCAAACCTTCATAAGAACATCCTTAACCATTTCCCAAGAAAACAAATACTTTCAAGTTTTATATATAGAAAACTTTATAAGTAATTCTTACATAACTCAATATTCTATAACATATTTACTATTATTTGAACTAATTATACACATATTATTATGTATTAAATACTATTAAGATTTCGATTATAGATGTGTTCTAACCCGATGATTATTGCAATCAAGTCGTAACCAACCAAGAACACACACTCGAGGTGAGTTCATACCCCTACGTTTTCATGATTTTTCATTGTTTTAGGAGGGGCAGGGGGAATACAAGTATAACACAAGAAATCTTGTGTTAATATCTAAATGATTTCAAAAATTGTCAATTGTTGTTGTTGCTAAAAACATATATATATATATATATATATATATATATATATATATATATATATAATTAAGTTTCAACAGGCTTAGAATTGGTGATTTTGTTTTATTTCCTATTCCTTATTTGGTTGTGGGTTTAGGGTAGAATCATTTATTCGACTGCCTTTTTAATTGCAATTATATAAGTATTATATATATATATATATATATATATATATAATATATATATATATATATATATATATATATATATATATATATATATAAGTATAAAACTATTTAAACATGTTAAACAAAAACAATATTTTTGTAATCTATTTTAGTACCATTTGGACATAAATGTTAAATTTCACAAACATCTTTATCACGAATTATACGATTCAAACTTTCAAAATCTTTAACAATACAAAGGTTTTCATTTCAGTAGAATACACACATATATAAACTATAATAGGTATAGTTTATGGGATTTACATATTATTTTACCGAGTTCGAGATAGAATACAGAAAACAAACATATAAACTATAATATGTATAATTTATGGATCATATGCACTATTTTACCAGTTCAGAATACATTACGGGAAACAAACATATAGACTATAAAAGATATAGTTTATGAAATACACATACAGTTATTCGTTACAAATGACTTTTCATTATTCTATACGTAACCGACAATATAGTTTTGTGAGACATACTTCACGTACTTTTCCAAGTACCAAATTGTTTCTTTCACCAAGAAAGAGGTTTTGTCCTCACCAAGAAGACGGTTGTCACAAAGACGATTACGACACCAAGCCGTGTTCACAACATTAGGGTTTTCGCTAATGTTGTATATATACTAATCTATGCATATCAATCCCATGATCAAAGGTATTGTACCTAATCTATACTAAGAACCGATCTTATCACAAAGATATCAGATCTGTGATGTATACTATACTTATCTATATCATTACCTAATGTACAAAAGATTACATAGAATAACTAGGCTATATGCTGACACTGATAAGCTTGATATGCTGGCGATGTTGATGTAGTTGACGCTGACACTGACAAATAGTATTAGAGTGTTTGACTCATCAAATTATATGGTGTGACCTTACAATCTCCCCCTATCTGATTATGTCAAAACCAATCTTCTTCTTCAGAGTCATCGGAAGAGCCATTATAGAACTTGTCAGCTTCTTTTAAGATTTTAGGCTTGACCCATCTGAATTGATCAAGCTTAAGTTCATCCAGACTTCTACTAAGCTCCAATGATATCACCACACGATTATCCTCTTTCCAGTTCATAGTGACCTAGTCCTTCCAAGCGAAGATGAAACAAATGTTCAGTGGGAGCAGAAGGAAGGTCATCAGTGCATTGAATGCACATAGGATTCTGATTATAGAGATAATATATCCCATGCTCTAGTTTTGGAATGAACATATATTATACTAGTTCAACACTCATTAGTAATTCTTTGTTGATATACCGAGTTCTATAAGGAAGAAGAAACTTGGTATTTTTGGATTGTCTAGGAGCACCAGTTATGAACGAGGAGGATGGTCTTGATTGACCAGTTGATGATGGACCAACTGATGGTACAAGATTCAGCTTCTTGACTTTGTTGAGTAGTTACTATATTGACAACTTCACTTCTTGAGCATGAACACCCTTGTGTTTGTCGATAATTCCTTGAATTTTCATCCACTTACTTTAGCTAAATTTGACTAACTCACGAGCATAAACAACTTCAGTGTATTCATATTCTATTTTCTTTCTAACCAAGTGAAGCTTTAGTGACTCATTCCTTGGTTTCGTACATCTCACTTTGATAATAGGATCATGCTTTGACCTATGAGTAAGTACATCTCCAAACTTCTTCCTATCAATACGGTAATTTAGGTCCGAAACAATATGTTGTTTCTCCACATTATTATTGAAGATTTTCTTGAACTAATTATCAATGCTTTGAATATTTGCATTCTCATCAGCGAAGGCAAGAGCTTGAGCAAGTTTGGCAGACATGCGTTTTACTTTTCTTTCTTCTTTCTTTTGAAGACTAGTAGCATTATATTATACATTAATTTCTCTAACTTCCTCAAGGGGTAACCTCCATGTTTCTATTAATTCATTTAGATCAAAGATGATTTTGTTTTTCTTTTTATGAGGAGATGTTGAAGGAACACCAACAACAGCAAAAGAGCTTCTAACTTCAGTGTCATAACCCCCCCCCCCCCCCCGAGAAGGAAACCTTACTCTTTCGAGGATTGAGATGATTATTGTGAGAGTCAATATCAATATCAATTTCTTGTGTGACAACAAAAGAGCTTCCAACAGCAGGAACAACTTATTGTAGGAAACCAAGTTCAAGAAACCCTTAATAGTCATCGCTCTCAGATTGGTTACCAATATCTGGAATGGGCTGATTAGTTGTATCATCAACATCTGGAATATCAGCAACAACAATCTGCTTTTAAGGATCAGCTTCAGGTTCAACCCTTCTAGTCATCTCAGGCTGAGATGGAGTTTGTACTATCATCACCTACATTTGCATTGGTCGAGGATCCCTTTAATTATTCTCCCCCTTTTTTACAGCAACATATTAGGAAGGAAAGTTTGGAGGTGGTGGAGGAGGTTTAGGAGGAGAATTAGATGGTGGAGGAAGATTTATTGATAGAGATGGAGGTGAAGGAGGGTTATTTCCTGGAGAACTTGGTGGAGTGTCATCAAAAATCATATCATCATCATCATCATCATCATCATCCAAGGCCATAAGTCTCTTCATTGTAGCCACATCCCTTTCAACTTTAGTCAACCTTTTATTTATTGACTCAGTTATCTGCACAAGTAAGTAAAGTTTAGAAAGCACAACAGTTTCAAAGTTGAAGTTGGATTCTCCCAGATTATCTTGATGGAAGACAACATTCACGATAGGAACAATCTTAGCTTGAGGAGGAAGATACGTTGACTTTGGAGAATTGACATCTTGAATCATTAGCTCAGTAGTATCCATAATAAGAGGGGTTAACCCACTTTATGCAACATCATCATCAGAGGAAGAGGATGATGATTCAAAACAAGTGTTCTTGTTCATCCTTCGAGGAGAGTTTATTTTCTGAGTGAAGTCTTTTCCCATGTCTACTACTGATTCTTCTTCATCTTTATTCGTGTCTTCTTCCTCATCAGCCCCTTCTTTATTACCAACTTTTGGATCACCATCATTATCTTCTTCATCACCAGCATCATCATTATCATCATCCTCGTCATCATTGTCTTCTTTATTACTAGCATCATCATTACCATCATCCTCTTTAGTGTTTTAAGATTAAACCACATAGGATTTTTCAATCCACTTTTGCATCCTAGCATTAATAGACAAGTCACCCTTAGATGGACCAGCATTAATTATTTTTGTGGAGAGAGTAGGAATTGGAATGTTAATCCCATGAATATTAACATAGCCTTCTTTTCGTGAAAAGATCCGACCAAGCCATCGAGGATAAGTAACATTCATCGGCTTCTTGTTCTCAGTAATGCAGTTAACCATTTGATCAAGAAAAAGTTAAGCAAAATTTAGTTTCTTGTTGTAAACAATAGAATATAAAATCGTATGCTCAACGAGATTCAGTTGATCTAAACTTTCAGTCTTGTGACCAAGACATTTTCTAATCACACCTGTTAAGTACTTCCACCCTACATTAAAACACTAACGAAGTGAAACATCCCAAAAACACAGTCTGAAAATTTCGTTTAATTTAATAATAAAACCGTATTCATAAAACGTCATATAAGAATCATAAACAATGTATCTCAAAATATCTTAACAACTGTCAAATATATCAGAGTATAAACATCCCAGGCTGAACAAATGGTGTGTGCACTGCAATCTTCCTAAGCTCCTCTTTTGAAAATTGAGTACCTGAAACCAAAACTGAAAACCGTAAGCATGAAGCTTAGTGAGCTCCCTCAAACTACCACATACCATATAATAACATATAAACACATATTGGGCATTGCCCACTGCATCGGACCGAAGTCCGGAGACTACATCGGACCAAAGTCCGGAACTGACTTGGACCCCGTCCCCTGCATCTAGGGGTGTGCAAAAAAACTGCAAAACTGAAAAACCGAGCCGAACCGGCCGATCCGAAACCGAAAAAAACCGAAACATAAAAAAACCGAAACCGAAAAAACCGGATATCAACGGGTCGGTTTTGGTTTGGATACTTAGGTATCCGCGGATAACCGAACCGAACCGCTTGATATATATATATATATATATATATATATATATATATAATATATATATATATATATATATATATATATAATATTCATTTTCATTGAACTTTTAGCCATATTCCAAACAAAAATCATGATCGGCTATTTCAATTTTACACTTCTACGTTATGTTTTCTTCTATTTTTATTGTTATATTTTTTATACCAATTATATTGTATATTATTTGACATTTATTATGTTTTTATAATTCTTTGGACTTAGTAATTTTTAGAAAGAAATCGTTGGAATGAAGTTTGTAATTTTAATTGTATTTGAATTTTTATATTTAGCGGGTACCCGTGAACCGAACCGTGGTTACCCGCCTTTATACGGTTCGGTTCGGTTCAGTTTTTTTGCTAATTCGGTTCGGTTTCGGTTAGTGCACATGAAGTACCCGCCCCGTGATGACGGTTCACAATTTTATTAATATCCGAACCGAACCGCCCCGTTAACACCCCTACCTGCATCGGACCGAAGTCCGGAACTAACTGCATCAGACCGAAGTCTGGAACTGACTGGGACCCCGTCCCCTGCATCGGACCGAAGTCCGGAACTAACGAAACATAGCATAAACATATCAACTAGCATGAACACATACATTGCATATTGCATCAGACCAGAGTCCGGAACACACAAAACATGCTTGAATCACAAAGACATCAAGCACTCTAACTACTGCATCGGACAGAGGTCCGGAACTAACTGAACAACATAACATAATCGTAGCATATAATATGAACACATATGCTTTGGACCATAGACCAGAACACATAACTCATACCATGTATGTATCACAATGACACCAAGCATACTGAACTACTGCATCAGACTGTAGTCCGGAACTACTGCTAACTAAACGGGCCGACATTGTGGCCGTAGACTCGTTCCTACTGGAAGGAAAGTCACCTCGCACTGCTGAAGTCCCGTAGACACAATGTCATCTGCTGAAGTCCCGCATATTCAACCCTAGCTGCTGGACGACAGATTCCCGAACTGTCAATACCAAAATAACACCCAATTAATAATTGGGTTCTAACACATAACTATAAATACATACTTTGAGTAATTACTACATTACCCTTTGCTTGGCTTACCCAATCCATAGGCCCAAAGTCAACTAGGGATCAAAGCCCAACATATGGCCTAATTTTCCAAATTGGACCCAAACCTCTACATAGGCTTCCCTTAAGGCCCAATTGTCCAGTCCAATCCAACATATCCCATTCTAAGGGTCCAATGTCATACAACCCTCTAGGTCCAAACTATGGCCCAATAATATACCCAAGTGAAATTAGGGTTTCTCGTAAAATAATGATTAGGGTTAAGTGTTTCTCACTTAACCCATTAAGGGCTTAACCCATTAAGGACTTAATCCACCAAGGACTTAATCCATTAAGTCCATTATTGCTTAGATTGATTTCTGCCAAAGATTATTATTTAATATTTCACTTATTAAATAATTCTCGTGTGTGTTATGATAAATTCTAAAATATTAGGATTTTCTCAATTAGCCCATTAAGGACTTGATCCATAATTCCTTTCCTCCATTAGATAAATGGCATGAAATAATTTGGTCTTAATTCACAATCCAATCCCAATAGCCCAAAAGTGGTCAAATAGGTCCAAGGCCCAAAGCTAACAACTAGGGTCTTCCACCCAAACATGGCCCAATAGGCCCAACAGCAATCTCTAAGCCCATTAGGGTTTGCTAGTGGGGCATAATCCACTACCACCTCGGGTAGTGGTCGTCTATGGCGGCTTACGGCGGCGGTCACCACCTTACGGTGGTGGTTATTATTATTTTTATTATTAACCAAAGCTAATTACAAGTACAATGTTTAATCCAAACATAAACACACACATACTAACTAACACACACAGCCACACCATGGTGGCTGGCGGTGGTGCTTGGCGGCAGCAGCCACCACCTCACAGTGGTGGTGGCGGATCTCTGATTTTCTGACCATTCGTTGTGCAAACAACTTCACAAACACACCCAATCAGAAGATTTATTCGTATAGCCACCACCTCACGGTGGCTTGTGGTGGCAGGAACTGTTTCAGGGCAATAACCACCATGGTCGGCTGCCATGGTGGGTTTTTCTCTCTATCTCCAGCTAAACTTATCCCTCACACGTCACAAACATAATCACAGCCCACCTGGTGGCGTGCAAAGACGAAGGCAGCAAGGTTTTTGGCGATGACAGCCACAACGGTCGTGTGATACTGCGGCGGCGCAAGATGTCGATGGTTGCAGTGGATGGAGCAGCGACCTGAGTAGTCGAACCGAGCCAAACAGCGGTGGTGGTCGTGACTGAGAAGAAACCACCGCGAAACGAGGCAACGCCGGCAGCGATGAAACAGTAGAATAAAAGCGGCAGGACAGTAGTGCTACAGTGGAGTGGCGGCAGCAGCTTCGCTCGTCTAACTCCTCACAGCCCCGCACAAGTGTTGAAAAATATTTCAGAGTTTATTTAGTTACTCCAGCACGTTTTTATTTTCTAGAAGAATAAATCAAAAGAGTATGGAAGTTGGTTCCTGGTCTTTAGCCACTAGATGTTAGTTCCTATTTTTATGCTATTTTTTCTTTTAAATAGATAGGCAAATGTGACGCTGAAATGTGTGTACTTGAAGTTTACTTTCCCCTCTTAATAAACAAATAAGCATTTGCCCCATTGTCTCTTTTCTTTTCTGTCAATCTCACCATCACAGGAAGTAAATCTGTCATCTTTTTACAACATTTGGTATCAGAGCAATTCCTGGTATATTCCAAAATATCAACCACGTGAGAAGATGACTATCGGCAACAGTGGCAACAATGGCAACGGTGATAAAGATGGACAAGTAACACTTCATTATCCCATGTTAAACAGGTCGATTTATGGTGCTTGGGCAATCAAGATGAGAGTTTTCATGTTGGCACAGGGTGTGTGGGACGCAGTGGAGCCCAGAACTGAAAACACTCTTATTGAAGCAAAAAAAGACAACATGGCCCTAGCCGCCATCTATCAGGGCATTCCTGAGGATCTGTTGATGGTGCTAGCTGAGAAGAAGACAGCGAAAGAAGCTTGGGGAGCTCTCAAAATGATGTTCGTAGGGGCAAATAGAGTAAAATCGGCCCGAATTCAAACCCTAAAGGCCGACTTTGAAGCTATATGCATGAAGGAATCAGACAGTATTGATGAATTTACTGCAAAGATTACAAGCACGGTCAGCTCAATACGTTCCCTAGGTGAAAAAGTTGAAGAATCTTACGTGGTGAAGAAACTACTAAGGGCAGTCTCGTCAAAATTCATTCAACTGGCATCCACGTTGGAGCAGTTTGGTGACCTGGAAACGATGAGTGTTGAAGAGGTCATAGGAAGGCTAAAAGCACATGAAGAAAGATTAAAGGGACGAGATGATCAAGATGACCGCAAGCTCCTGTTTACGCATCAAGAATGGTTAGCAAGAAAGAAGAAGGAAAGGGAGTCAAAGGACAAACAAGGTCATGGTGGACCTGGTAGTTCACGAGGCAGAGGCAGAGGAAGAGGCCGACATGGTGGAGGCTGTGGTGGACGCGGTAGAGGAAATCATAGTAACCAGAAAACTTCAAGTGCGTCTGGATCAAAAAATTATGACAAAAGTAAGGTACAGTGTTATAATTGCCAGGATTTTGGTCATTATGCTTCGGAATGTCAAAATCCAAAGAAAGAAAGGAATTAAGAAGCCAATTTGATTCAAGATGACAATGAACCAGCCCTGTTATTGTCGTCAATAGAAGATGGAGAAGAAAATGGCGAAGTGTACCTAAATGAAGAAAATGTGACTCCAAATCTAAGATCTAGAAGCATAGAAAAGCATCAGTCAAACATCTGGTACCTGGACTGCGGAGCAAGCAACCATATGACTGGGGATGAAAGCAAATTCAAAACCTTGAACAAGAAGATACAAGGGTTTGTTAAGTTCGGGAATGAGACCAGGGTAAGAATCGAAGGAAAGGGGACGGTAGTCTTTCAGTGCAAGAATGGAGAGCACAGAAAACTCCAAGAAGTATACTTTATACCAGACCTGTGTAACAATATAATTAGCCTTGGGCAGCTGTCGGAGATCGGTGCAGAAATCAAGATAAAGGAACCATATTTGTGGGTTCGTGACAAAGCTGGAAAATTACTGATGAAGGTGCACAGATCCCCTAATCGATTATACAAGATTGAGTTGGAACATGTCAGTAATTCATGTCTGGTTGCTGAGATTACTGAACCAACATGGCTCTGGCACACACGTCTAGGGCACATCAATTTTGCAACCTTAAAATTGATGTCAGCGAAGAAGATAGTGGAAGGCTTATCTCAAACTAATGTCCCGTCCCGGCCTTGTGAAGGGTGTTTGATTGGAAAACAAACAAGAAACTCTTATCCCACTCAGACGAGCTACAGAGCAAAAAAAAGGCTAGAACTCGTTCACGGAGACTTGTGCGGCCCAATCTCACCACCCACACCCTCAGGAAATCGATACTTCATGCTCCTTGTCGATGATTATAGTAGAGTACAATGGGTGTACCTACTGAAGACAAAAGATGAAGCCTTTCAGACATTCAAGAACTTCAAAGCAAAAGTGGAGAATGAAACCGGAGAAAAGATAAAGACTTTAAGAATGGATCGAGGAGGAGAATTTCTCTCACACGAGTTTACAAAGTTCTGTGAAGAAATTGGGCTTGATCGAAATTACACTTCCCCTTACTCACCACAGCAGAACGGTGTGGTCGAACGTAGAAATCGCACAATTTTGGAGATGGTTAGATGTAATCTGAAGTCTATGAACGTCCCAGATGTTCTTTGGGGAGAAGCTGTAAATCATGCTGTCTATGTTCTAAATAGAGTCACGACGAGAGCGTTAGAAGAATCGACCCCTTATGAGATGTGGACCGGTCGAAAACCACATGTAGGGCATCTCAGGGTGTTTGGGTGCTTAGCTCACATGATGATTCACTAGAATCACCTGAAAAAGCTAGACGAACGCAGCAAGAAATTGGTTCATCTGGGAATCGAAAAGGGGACAAAAGCCTATCGCCTAGTTGATCCTGACACCGGGAAGATGTATGTGAGAAGAGACGTCGTGTTTGAAGAAAATAAAAGCTGGGAATAGGATAAATCGATGAAGATCAAGAAGATGCCGGATATGGAATTCACAGTGAAAGGCTTTGCTCTAGACGTGGTCGGTGATGATGTTGAAGACGATGGGTACGAATTGGATCCCAGCACACCCCAAGCGAGTCATGGGCCACCACAAATGGGAGATGATTGGAACGCTAGTGGGTCACAACCCATTAACTCACAGGTGGGCTCGCAATCTAGCCTACAATCCGATCCAATGAATGACCCGGGTACACCAAATTCACCCGATTTTCCAAACTTACCCAACACCCCAAATTCCCAAAATCACTCAATCGGATCCTCCAATTCAGAATCCACTGGCGGTGGAGCGCCAAAGCGATTTCGCCTACTTGATGATCTTTACGAGAACACAGAAGAAAGTCATGTCCCGCTGGAAGAATTACTCTTAATTCGCAATGATGAAGAACCAGGCTCGTATCAAGAGGCGAAGAACAAGGTTGAATGGATTGAGGCGATGAAAGCAGAGTTGATGTCGATTGAGAAGAACAGGACCTAGAGGCTTGTCGATCTTCCACAAGGAAGACGGCCAATTGGACTGAAGTGGGTCTTCAAGGTAAAACGTGATCCCAGTGGAAAAATTGTTAAGCACAAAGCAAGGTTAGTGGCAAAGGGTTATGTACAAAAACATGGGGTAGACTATGAGGAGGTATCCGCACCAATAGCGAGAATCGAGACAATTAGAGTAATCCTATCCCTTGCAGGGACAAATGGGTGGAATGTCCATCACCTCGATGTAAAATCAGCGTTTTTGAACGGAAAGTTGGAGGAAGAAGTCTATGTGCTGCAGCCTGAAGGCTTCGAGAAGAAAGGGAAAACTCAAAAGGTTTACAAACTTTCCAAAGCTTTGTATGGGCTAAAACAGGCTCCCAGGGCCTGGAATGCTTGTCTCGACAAGTATTTGAAAGAAATAGGTTTCAATCGGTGTCCACAAGAGTATTCCGTTTATACAAGGAGAAGAGAGGGAAACACGCTGATCATCGGGGTATATGTTGACGACTTACTGGTTACTGGTAACTCTCCGGATGATGTGGCAAATTTCAAGAAGGAGATGAATGCAAGGTTTGAAATGAGTGACCTGGGATTGCTATCACACTACTTGGGAATTGAGGTATGTCAAAGTAACAACTCTATCTCCTTAAAACAAGAATCATATGCAAGGAACCTGCTGTCAAAAACACGTATGCTTGAATGTAATGCCACAAAAACCCCTATGGAACACAAGCTAAAATTAACAAAAAAAGGAGATGGAGAGCCTGTGAACCCAACGGAATACAGAAGCATAGTAGGAGGTCTCAGGTATTTGACACATACCCGACCAGACTTATCGTTTGCAGTTGGGGTAGTAAGCAGGTTTATGGAGAAACCAACCACATCACATCTACAAGCTGTAAAAGGAATTCTGAGGTACATCAAAGGAACACTGGATCATGGTATAATCTACACAAAAGGTGATAAGCAGATCACAGTTGAAGGGTACTCTGATAGTGACTATGGCAAGGATGTGAACGATAGAAGAAGTACAGGAGGCATGATATTTTATGTGAATGGAAACCCAGTCACATGGTCTTCACAAAAACAGAGATGTGTAGCTCTCTCTTCGTGTGAGGCTGAGTTCATGGCAGCTACAATGACAACATGCCAAGGAATTTGGCTGCGTAGATTGCTGTCACAGATAACTGGTCAAGACATCCCTCCAGTGATTATGCATGTGGATAACAAGTCTGCTCTAGAACTCATGAAGAACCCAGTTTTTCATGGTCGAAGTAAACACATAGATATAAGGTTCCATTTTATCAGGGAATGCGTGGAGAATGGTGAAATTGAAGTAACTCATGTGGATGGAAAGAAACAAAAGGCAGACATACTCACAAAAACTCTGGCTAGAGTAAAACATGATGAGATGTGCAAGTTGATTGGAATCAAGAAGATTGGGAAACTCTGAATTAAGGGGGAAAATGTTGAAAAATATTTCAGAGTTTATTTAGTTACTCCAGCACGTTTTTATTTTCTAGAAGAATAAATCAAAAGAGTATGGAAGTTGGTTCCTAGTCTTTAGCCACTAGATGTTAGTTCCTATTTTTATGCTATTTTTTCTTTTAAATAGATAGGCAAATGTGACGCTGAAATGTGTGTACTTGAAGTTTACTTTCCCCTCTTAATAAACAAATAAGCATTTGCCCCATTGTCTCTCTTCTTTTCTGTCAATCTCACCATCACAGGAAGTAAATCTGTCATCTTTTTACAACAACAAGCAATTCACAGCTCTAAAATCCGGTCGCGGTGGTCCTTGTCGCACACAGCGTTGCCGGCAGGAAATAGCGACCTGGTTGGATCGGGAAGAGAATGAGGAGAAGGAAGATGGCAACGAGGGAGTCAAGGTGGTGGCGGCTACAACACTCATGGCGGATGGAACATTTTAGGTTTAGGGTTTGACATGCTGAGGGTGGCGGGTTATATCCCCAACCACTTTAAATCTTTCGCATAATTCCAACTCTGGTCCCTACAGCTCCAATTTAATTCGAAATAGATCAATATTTTACCTTTCTAACCCATGTCATGTAAAATCTTTGCAATTCAACTCTATATGTTACCATTTAGGCCCTAATCCTCCAAAATCTCTTCAAATTAAGTCCTATAAGTTACCATTTAGTCAATGCGTTCATAAATCACTACAAGAATAACAGGCAATAGCGGCGACACCTTTAGCAGCGACAGTCACTTTTAGCAGCGACATCAAACAAACGCATTTTTTGTCGCCGCTAAAAGTGCCCGTCACCGCTAAAGGTGTCGCCGCTAAAGGCTTATGTTGGCGATCCGCGTCATTTCAACCCTAACCGTTGATTTAGATGATGATCCAACGACTAGGAGGACATAGAAAACCCCGCGTTATTTTCCCTCCGGTGTGTCGCCGCTAAAGGCTACCCGTCGCCGCTAAAGGCGTCGTCGCTAAAGGCGTCGCCGCTATTGCCTGTTCTGGCGATCCGCGTCATTTCAACCCCATCCGTCGATTTAAGCAACGATCCAACGATGTAAGAAACCCCAGATAGTTTTCCCTCCGATGTGTCGCTGCTAAAGGTCGTCCGTCGCCGCTAAAGGCGTCGCCGCTAAAGAGCATCGACAATAAAATCAGCTTCGTCTTCACTTTCTTCCCTGATCTACTTCTGTGTTTTCCCTCTTCTTCTCCATTTCCCATCTTCTTGCCGGAGTATACCGCCACCACCACTGTTCATGATGAAAATTTGATATTTTAGATGTGTATTTGTATGTGTATTTTGTTTGTAGATGTGGATATGTATTTGTATTTGCATTTGTATGTATATGTGTATTTTGAGTGTATTTTTATTTATATATATATATATATATGTGTGTGTGTGTGTGTGTGTTTTTGTATGATCATTTATATGTATATGTCTATTTTGTATGTAAATTATGTATGTGTATGTGTATGTGTTTTTGTATGTCTATGGGTATTTTGTATGTGTATTATGTATGTATGTGTATTTGTATGTATACAAATACATATAAATAGCGGCGACACCTTTAGTGGCGACAGATAGTATTAGCAGCGACGCGTCTTTAGTGGCGACAGAAGGCAATAGCGGCGACCAAAGAAGTATTAGCGACGAAGCAATAGCAACGACCCTTTAGCGGCGACGTGTCGCCGCTAAAGGTATTAGCGGCGACATTTTCGACCTTTAGCGGCGACGCCCGTCGCCGGTAATACTTTAATTTCTTGTAGTGAATACTTACAAAACGAACTAGGAACTTGCACTTTTGACCCTCTACATCTAAAAAATTTCGCAAATCACTCCGGGACTTACATTTATTAATTTATTTAAATAAACGGGGCGTTACACGAAGAGTGTTCTTGTATGGACCATGAATGAGGCCTGAAAGATTGAAATTATACCGTAATTTTTCACAAACAAATTTGTAACTTTCTTCAGAGTAAGTTTCAAAGTAACTTTCGAGTTGAGGAAGACGAAGAGTAGTTCGAAAGGATTTCACATCAATGGCAACCTTATATTGATCATCTCTAATAGTTCAAGTGATGGTTCGAGCAATAGTATCAATAGAGCATGTATAGTAAAACTCACATACTTTTTTAGGGTAAAAATGGTCGGGAAAATTGCAGAATGCATATCGAAGATGACCGCTCTTGACATAGTCGACAAAATCTTCGATTCCTGAGTTTGCGAATTGCTTTGGGATTTCACCTGAGACTGCTACATTTATAGATGGAATGATGATGGTAGAGTCAGGAGCATGAGGACATTTGATCACATTAGCGCTAGGAGCAAACTCGTACAAGGACTTTGAAATGCTGAAAGCTTTGAGGAAGACGGCGATTTGGATTCTTTTTAAGAGTGAGAGCTTAATTACTTGAATTGCTAGTAAAAGTGAGCTAGGACGAAGAATTCCCAATTTATACCCACAAAGTGACTTCCTTTTTACATAATCATTAATAAAGATATATTCACCGTAAAAATCTTGTATCCCAAGATAATGGTGGATCTTTCAGTTATCATCCAAAAACTTATCATTAAAATAGGTGATGTGACATCAAAGGTAATGAATATTAGCATAAGCGATTAACGAGTTCCTTGAAATGTTAAGTTTGTGATGTCTCTTGATAGTGTGGATTTAAACTATCATTGATCGACATAGTATCGCGAGATCTCATCACTTTGTGGTTTCATACGTTGAATCATAAATTTCTTTTATTAGAAGAAAAATGGCAAGAATGGATAGGTGCGTGTAATATATCACTGACATTGATATACCCATCGACACATATTTGTTAAGCTCTCACCAGCGTATGGTACATTACGTTGAATCATAAAACTTTAAACAAGATTATAAGGGCAAGAATGGATTGGTGCGTGTGATAGCATATGGTACATATACTAACCATCATAATAGAGTTTCAAACTTTATTAGTGTGTGGTTTTACACAGTGAATCATCAAGTTATATTAACAAGATAGAGAATAGATTGGATTATTTTAGTCACGCTGAGGTGAAATCAGTGTGAAACACTAATAGTTTAACTCATTAACAATAAGTGGTTTAAGCTTCCATATCATAGAGTAAGTTGCAGTTTAGAATCAAAGATTCACTATTAATTCATAATGGTACCATGTTATACGTCAAACTAGAAGGTTAGGGACATGAACAACCCTTTATCATTTAAGGACCAGACAAGTATCTCTTACACTAATGACTATGCAATCTGGGTAAGAAATTGGGCTTTGCTTAATGTTTTAGCATAACATAAGACTTGATGCGTACGAAAAGAATGCTTCCAGGGACAGGGTAAGGTAAAGATGATTAATTAAAAATAAACACCCTAACCTTTCTATCAATAAATTTTTATTTGTACAAGTAATCTCACATAGAGAGTTTGGAGAATGCTAGACAATCAATGTGAGAGGGCGACTCAATGTTCTCAATAGATGGTCTTGCTGATGAGAAACTTAGAGAGATTTTGTCATATACATCAGCATGCTTCTAGGGACGATGAAGTGTCAAAAGTTGAATACTAGGTTTAAAGTTGCCACCGCCAGATTCCCTTTCATAAAAAATGGTACAAAATAAACTATATAAGAATATAAACAAAAGAATTAGTCAAATAAGAAAATAGTTTAAATAGGTAAATATGTGCAACTTTTTCAAAAAGATGATAATGACTCGGTCCATCAAATCTTTGGAATTAAATGGTCATAAATGGATTTCCATTTTCTGAGATATCTAACCCTTTAATTTTTAACTATAAAAGAGAACCAACAAGATCAACCATATCACATAAAAACAACACAATTCATAGTAAACAAGGAGATAGAATGCCTTTAATCGTTGAGGTTCTACGGATTGATTCCAAGCTTCATGTTCACAAAGAACAAAAGAAGAACATGAACTAGTCTTTGTAACCAACGAGTTAGAGGGATCCAATCTTTGTAACCTTAGAGTTATGAGAGTCACCAAGAAAAAACTTGAAGGTTCGATACATTGAGAGCCCTAAGGGAAGATAAGGTGGGATCATTATCTTCTTGAAGACGCCTTTGGATGTTTACGGTTATGGAGTTATAGTGACATTGTCTCTGGATATTAATCGTGCCAGGTCACCTAACTTCATCTCATCCCATTGAAAAAAGAAATAATTTGTTCAAGATAGAAGAGATATATGCCTAGAAGAACACCTGGTGGCACAGTAATCCCCTATCTGGCCTCATCAACATAAAGAAACATGCCAATCAGTGTGTGCATTGGCATCCATGAGAGGGTAGTTGTTGCCAAAGAAAAGATGCAGAGTCGTTGTCAACTAGCTCTTACAATCAACGATGATGAATTCAAGAAGTGACATGCTGATTTTAATTAGTTAAGATCAATGTTGAGAGGAAAATGGAAGGTCCTAACACATATAGAGGACAGAGAAGAAAGAACATTTGCAATGTTAGTAGCAAAATGTATATGTATAATGTACACTCCTTTAGTAAAGTACAGAAGAAATTTTTAATGCAAACAAACCAAAAATAAATTAAAACTGTAGCAACTTATGTTCAAAAATTTAAGAGTAGCAAAGCAAGAAAAAATAAAGTATTAATATATGAGCAAATAAATCAATCCATATAAATATCGCTCTCACCGAGAGCAAAAAACACGATTTTGTTTTCAAAATCAAACACTTTTCCCTCATGACGGTTAAAGAAAACCTTGTAACCAGCATCACAAAGTTGACTGATGGAGATGAAGTTTCCTTTCAGACCTTCTACATAAAGTACGTCCTCCGGCTTAATCGTTATGCATTCAAAAGTTCCAACTCCTGGAACAGCTCTTCCACTATTGTCACCAAAGGTTACCATTGGACCATCATTATCTGCAAAATTTGTTAAGAGGGACTTGTAACCGATTAAGTGTCTAGAAATTCCAGTGTCTAGGCACCAAGTTTGGCCTAGATTTGTACATGATCATGTATCAGCGTGAGAATTATCCGTGTCACATATGCCATCAGGGGAATTGTTTATAACAACCATAAAACGCTTGATATTTAACCCCTCATCTTCAAAACTCTCCTCTTCTTCTACCCAATCTTCATGATCATCTTATCTTGCAATTAACGCTTTCGGTAGAGAAATGATTTCCTTCTTCATATGAGTCACCAGCTTCTTGTACAAGACTTCATAGTTCTCAGGGCTTTGGGTTTCTTTATTCTCCTTAAAGTCTCTAGCATAATGATGGGGGCTTCCACAATTAAAGCAATTACTTGAGTTTTTCTCTCAGAATTCGACCTCCTTGTTAAACTGCTTCTCTTGAACTAAGCTCTTCTAACCCCATTTTCTCTACTTTCTTTGTAGCGCTTAACGATAAGTACAACACTGGAAACAAGCTCATCGGTGAGATCTTCATCATTCTTTTCACCGTGATATGAGTTATATGAGTCGCTGATGTGCTTCATTGATTCCTTTCGATATATCAATGCAACAAAATTTTCGTGGTTCGAGTCCTTCATGATTTCTCTACGAAAAGATTTGGCCTCTTCATAATTTTACATATTACCAAACAAGGAATTCATATCCATGGTATCGATCTTCTCACCATTCATAAGAACATTAGCATGAAGTTCCAAGCTTTTCCCAAGTGAATTGAGAAACTTCAGAACCAACTGAGATGAGTGCTTGATGATTCCCAGCCTGCGCATATCATTAACCAAGGAGTTAAACCTATTAAAGGTTTGGGTAAGAGACTCACCTTGTTGAGTAAATAAATGCTCATATCTCCGATTAAGATTAATGATGATCGTAGCCTGGACTTCCACAGTGCCTTCATAACATACTTTCAGCATATCCATTAACTATTGTGCCGACTCACAATTTTGTATCTGATGATACATGTGGTAGGGAAGAGAGTTTACAATAGTATCCCTAGCTTTCATATCAAGAATGAGCAATCTCTTGTCATCATCATCATAACTTGTTTCTAGCTTTTGCTTTAGGAGGCCAACAGAAGAGTTGTTGACCATGGGTTTGTACATAGGAACATGGGGGAGGGGGATATTTTTCAACAATATTTCTCATCTCATTGTCAATGGTTTCAAGAACAATCATGACCTTTGTCTTCCACATAGCGAAATTTTGTTCATCAAAGGGAGGAATTTTGTTGAGACCAAAGGATTTGGGATTTGGCATGATTACTCGAGTGTATCAGGAACCTGCTCTGATACCAATTGAAGGTTTGTATCGATTGCATACACTTCTAGTATAAAGACTAAAGAGAAACTTAAGCAATGAAAAATAAAGAACATAAATTAAAAGACACAAAGTGTTCTCCAAATTGTTTCTTTCACCAAGAAAGAGGTTTTGTCCTCACCAAGAAGACGGTTGTCACAAAGATGATTATGATACCAAGCTCTCTTCACAACATTAGAGTTTTCCCTAATGTTTTATATATACTAATATATACATATCAATCCGATAATCAAAGGGATTGTATCTAATATATATTAAGCGTTGATCTTATCACAAAGATACCAGGTTTGTGATCTATTCTATACTTATCTATATCATTACCTAATATACAAAAAATTATATAAAATAACTATGCTATATGCTAACACAGATAAGCTTGATACATTGGCATTTTTGGTTTAGTTGATGTTAATGCTGATAGATATTGTTAGAGTGTTTGACTCATTAGATCATAAGGTGTGACCTTACAATTGGAGATGTTACCTTTTTGTAAGACTTTTGGAAACCAAAGACTGTGTGTGATCCTTTAGGGCATTGCATGGACAAATCTTAGTAGTTGGACTCCATTCCTTGTAAACGAAAGCATGGCCTAAAGGAAGAAATATTGGATGTGTAAGAGGTTGTTTTATAAGAAACTTCTCTTCTTCACTCAAACCCATACTTTGACCTTCAAATGATCAAATCATGGTGGTCTTACATTAACTATTATATACAAGTATTAACATGTTTTAGTTACAAAAAACTAGCTTTATATAAATGGAATACAAAGGGTCCAAAAAGATGCACACAACATATAAATCATACATTATGAGTTTACTAGGTGTTTTTTTTATCTCTTTGAAAATATTACATCCACAAATAATAATTATTCCCTAGTTGACAAACCCTAGTCAATTCCTAACTCAATTAAATTCCATTTTACTTCAATATGTCAATTTACAATGTATACTTGATAATTGATCTTTTTAATAGATTAGAATGCATTGGTTGGACGAACCTCGTGAAGATCTTTGTCAAGGGCATTATCTTTCTCTTCCTTTGTGAGAACTATTCCCAAACTATGAATTTGTTTAAGATTGATCATCATAATAGCTTATCCGTTTAGAGTTTTTAAATAGTAGCTTTGAAACATCCCAAAAATACAGTCCAAAAATTTCATTTATTTAAACTAGAATTACTGAAAATAATATATCAACACATGAACCATAATATGTCAAGTATCAAAATAATATATCCATATCAATCACATGTCAAACAAATTAGGGTAAAACATCATAGGCTAAACATAAATGGTGTGTACCATACAGTCATCCCGAGCTCTTTCCCTTGCTCCCAAAAGTACCATAAACCAAAATTGAAAACTGTAAACATGAATCTTAGTGAGCTCCCGAAACTACAATATACCATAAACATACCACATAATCACATAACAACATATCATGGGCCCTGCCCTGCTACATCAGGCCTCGCTTGGCATCATACTACATCTGACATTGGGCCATACCCAACATCGAGCAAAGCTCGGCATACGTATGACCATATCTACTAATACACAAAAACATAAGCATAACCACCTAATTATAGACATATAAACATTCCTCGGGCCCCGTTCGACATCCGACCGAGATCCATAAAACATACAAACAATCCTCGGTAATCGACCAGACATCGGATCGTAGTCCAGAAATATATAGAGACAAACACATGCAAGAATCACAAAGACATCAAGCATACAAACATTCATCGAGTACCGCCTCGACATCAAGTCGAAACCCGAAAAAAACGTATAAACCTACATCGGGCCCTGCACGACATCAGACCTTAGTCTGGAACATACTAAAATACATACACTGGACGACATTGGTGCCTTCAACCTGTTCCTATAGGAGAAAACTCACCTCGAATGTCGGGTGAAATAGTTGAACGTCGCTGCTGCTACAACCGACTCTACTCACACCATATACAGAAATAACACCTTAGATACCATTCTATACACAAGACCCCTTCACGGGTCAACCTTGGTCAAAGTCAACATCCAGTTAAAGTCAAAGTCAACAATCAGAGTTGACTCAACTCGTCGAGTCATCCTTATGACTTGCCAAGTTTTCATGTTCAGTAGAATCATGATAACACGAGTCAACTCGTCGAATCCCTCGTAGACTCATCGAGTTCTGCCCTTTACAAGGTCAGGAAAAATCGTTCTAACTCGTTGAGTTTTTCCTTCTATAGGGTCGGGGCATTTCGAACCAACTCGTTGAGTTCCTCAATGGACTCGACGAGTTCTTTAGTATGTTAAGCCATTTTAATGGATTAAGCCCCTATTCTTTAGATCTAAGCTTCAAAATTCATATATACTATGAGAATGCTCTTTTAAGGGTAAAGTTTCCAACTTTACCCGTAAATAGCCTTACATAATGGATTTAGCTCAAACCCTAATTCTTTAAGACCTAGATTATAGTTCCAACACCATCTATACTCTAAACCAATGCATATAAACTGATATCTAGACTCTAGACACTACAAAACACATAAAGCTTCCACCTTTTCCACCATGCATGGCCTATTGGAGCTTAAAATGCCAAAATAACATCCTAAAGCTTGCATGGGGCTTCAATGGCCATAAAGTTTCCACCTTTATGCCATGAGAGCCCTTCTATGTTCTAGATTTGAAGGTATACTCACTTGGGACATCCATTTCCCAAAGACCATGCTTCTTGGACCAAAAACCCAATAAAATGAAAATAAGGAGATCTAAGAAGTTACTAAGCAAGTTTGTGACTTGCTTACCAGAAAATGGTGAGAATGAAATGGAGTATCTGGATCTATTAGCCTCTTCTTGATTCCCCAAGCTTCTCCTTGATTGGATCTATTAGCCTCTTCTTGATTCCCCAAGCTTCCCCTTCCTTTACAAGCTTCAAATACACAAACTCACTCAAAAATGGCTCACAAGCGCACAAATGCATTAGGATTTATGGATTTAGGGATTGGGACGTGGAGGCGGGAAATGAGGCCATCATGTGGGGATTAGGATGGTTAAATAGGGTGAAAAACTCTGAAATTAAGGTTTCACCCCTGTCCGCCTACTCGTCAAGTTGAGGCTCACAACTCGTCAAGTAGGTTGCTTAAACCGACGTCCCTTCTAATCTCTACTCGATGAGTTTGGGGCTGCCAACTCATCGAGTTGCTTTATAAAAACGAATAAATTATTATTTTAATTACATACCAAGAATCATGTGCTACAATTCTCCCCCACTTGTCATAGATTTCATCCTCGAAGTCTGCTGCTTCAAACAACTCTGGGTAACGTTCTCCCATCTCCTCCTCTAGCTCCTAAGTCCACTCCAATCCCTAACGGTGCTGCCACTGCACCTTTACCAGCTCAACTCTCATGTTCCTTAGCTCTATTGTCTTCCTGTCGAGAATGGCTACCGGTCTGTCAATGTAGTTGATGTGTGTGAAACAAACTAGTTTTAATCCTACTAACTTAAACACAAAGACAAACACACGAAAGGCAGTGTACCTACCGATTAGCAGTTTAGTTCAGGTAAGTAGGGTATCGGACACAGGGAACGGTAATAATTAAATTAAATACTAATATTATCTAATTAAAAACAATTAATAAAAGAGGGGGTTTTCTCTAGTTTTGGAAGACTAGAAACTTAATCAATCAATTAACTTTAAAACAAAGACAATTAACAACTAAGAAGAACAAGAAAGGACAACTAGATTCAATGATAAAAGAGACTTCTGTTGAGATTCGATTCACTTATTCCTATGGTTGATTTCGTGGCAAGTGCAATGGATCAATATGTCAATGATTACCGATTCCTAATGTGATTGGGTTCATGTTCATTATTACCAATCCTTTAGTAGACAAGTTAATTCAAACAATGGCCAGTTGATTAAACTAACAAGTTTCCTAGTGTTTAGTTCGTATCAAGTAAGACTTGTAATAATAGCTAATCAAATTTGTTCAATTCAATCAAGTCATATGTGGTTGTTCATCACACATCCTCACACATTGATTTAACTATTTTCTAGTTAACCCTAGTTTCATATTCATTATTCCTAGGCATACAATCTTGTATTCACAAAACTATATGAATCAAGTAATCAAGAAGATGTTCATGCAACTTAATAACTCACTTATTAACAGAAAATATTTATCATCAATACATGAGGATCTTTAACAAGCTTAACAAGATGAATA